CCCCAAAACCCCAAAACCCCAAAACCCCAAAACCCCAAAACCCCAAAACCCCGGGTGAGCCAAATAAGGTTGAATTAGTTAATTCATTGATTTTTGTAATATCGAGAGTTCATTATACAACTTTTCAAGCTTCTCCATTTTCTTTGTTTGCTTCAATGAGGTATTGGATTTAATTGTGCTCATATTCGAGTCTGACTTGGCAAAGGTAATGTTTTTATGATTTCTGTCATTTTCTTTTCCTCCAGCCCAGTTAGGATTGGACTCGAAAGTTTGCTCTCTGCTAGATTTCTCTTGGAATTGTCCTGCTACGCTTTGTTTCAGTTCTTTGTACACCTCTGATTTTGGATCCTCGTGGGTATAACTCTTGCTAATTTTGTGCTGGACTACATTTATCGGGCAGTACCCTTCATTAGAATTAGGGTTTTTATCTTCAAGGCCATAAACATCTTGGTCATTTGTGTGAGCCTGCTTCTTTTCCTTTTCCACGAAATTTTGGAATTCCTCCTTTCTTGCCTGGTTTAATAGATCTTTCTGTTTTTGAGAAGTCTTGTTGTCATTAAAATTTTCGAAATCTAATAGAGAGATACTCTTGTAATGATCTAAAGAATCTGTATTAAACTGAAATTCATTTAGAGATATTCCACCATCTGCATTTTGGGGTGTCACTTCATCCGTAGCGAAATGGACGGATGGGCGATATGAGCGAGCATCTTCGCAAGCAGACTCTGAGATTATATAGTCATCATGAGAGTAAGTAGTTTTTGCTTGATCCTTTTTGTTGCGGCTCTTAGTCCTTCGAATTGACTTTTTGTTCCTTGTTTTAGCAGATTTCCTTAACTCTTTTGCTCTGTTTGATTTCTTAACCGATGACTTTCTTGTTCTTGAGTGGCTTTTAGGAAGAGGAGCTAATTTTGGTCTTACATGACTTCTCCTAGTCGATGCAGTTCTATTTCTAACGCGCTTAGATTTTGAAAGAAGGCTATTTGCAATAGTATTCTCAAGAGTTTCAAACTGTGATTCAAAACTCCTGTTCTTGATAGCAACTTTCTGTGTCAAGCTTGATAAGTTATGAACCAAGCCCTCAAATTTGTCATCCATCCTTGCTTCCAATAGCTTCAAGTCTGTTCTCTCAACATATGGGATGCTTGAATTGTGAACCTTGAACCCCTCCTCTGTGCTTTCAGATTTGAGTACTTTCATTTCCAAAGAGTTGACTTGCTTTTCAATGTTATAGAACTTAGTATTGACTTCATTTAAGAACTTATCAAACACTTGGGATTTATCAGCCATAGCATCGCTATCCATCGCTATGAATGAAGAAGAGATTCTTCTCTCAATCTGATTGACATCCAGTGCGATATCTTTAGCCTGCTGTTCTAAGGTCCTGTTGAGTCTCCTTTCTACTTCCTAAAGTTAATCTGACCCATGGTTTACCATAAGTTTTGACTCTCATTGGCAGTCAAGATGCATGGCTTGGACTGATTTCATGTCTTTTACGAGGAATTCATATTCTGAGCGGAGTTTGTACCTACATGCATACTCAAGATTAGCTTACTCAAAGTCTCTAAGTTGGCCATCAAGCAGTTTATTTGATCTCCTGGGTTTCGTTTAAGTCCTTATTAGGGAAATTAGTAGCAAAATCCACCTTTTCTTCGAGGATCAGCATCTTGTTCTCCAAATTTCTAGTTGTCTGATCTTTCTCAGTCTGGAGCCTAAAGAGGAATTAATTCTGGGAGAGTTTAGAGAAGTTATTTACCTCTTTATTTGAAGCATCATTTTGTCAAGGACATCGTCAACTTTTTTAAACTGCATATTTCTGAACTCAAATTCATCAACTTTTTCTGAAAGTTTGGTCAGATTAGCCTGGGTCCGCTGAACTTGGCTTTCAAGGAACTTTATCAAGGAGTTACTGCTCATTTCAGTATTTCAAATTTAAATTTATTTCAATTTTTATTCACAAAAGAGGGGTTTTGGGGTTTTGGGGTTTTGGGGG